ACCCTAAAATATATAATACAAATACAAATGAACCTGCATGTTTTCCATGAATGCCGTGTTTATCGAATATAACGTTTCAACAATTTTGAAATTCATTTAGGGATTCTGCTTGTCTGATATTAGTAGGTAGGCTGTTCCACAAGAACGCGCCACTATAACTAAAGTTGTTAATAAGATAAATGGTGCGGGGTATTGGAACAGCAAACTTGTTCACAGAGTCACAGTCTGAGTGAACAGTTAGTTACATCGTTACGATTTATAAATTTGGAATGTAAATATTCAGGAGTGAGACCGTGTGTAGACTTATAAACCATCAACGCTTTCTGAATTTGGCGTTGCGTATTTAGATTGTCCCATCCTAAAATTTCCATTATATGTCCTGCATCCGCGTCAAAGTTTGAAAGGGTTAATACTCGAGCTGCTCGGTTTTGTAGTTTCTGGAGTTGATTAGCTAAGGTCTTTCCACAGTTCCCCCTTATACGACGTCACAATAGTCAAAGTGAGGTTGTATTAGAGCTTGATAGATAAATTATAATGTTTCTGATGAAACAACAGACCTCAAACGCTTAATAACGCCGATACCAGAAGCTACTTTTTTAGTTATTTTGTCGATATGGTAACTCAAGGTTAGGTTCTCATTAATTAAGACATCAAGAGATTTTGTTTAAAGACTGTTTTGATTGGAACACTATTAAATTTTAAATTTTGACTGATACAATTTAAATTTTCACGCAGTTGTCATGATGAATACAACTCACTCGAAATGTAAACGCAAACGGGACAAAGAACCAAACAATTAATATTTTATTTATTTTGTGCGAGGAGATAGAAAAGAATAGAGATAACGTTCTAAAACCACTTTTTGTGGATTTGCTCGCAATGAATATTTGAATGCAAGCTTATACAGTTTAAACGTTTGACCATATATATGAGACCAATAATCAGTCATCACGTTCAGCAATTGTTGCCATGCATAACAACGTAAATATTGTGTACTACATAATTTGTTGCTGCATGGCTTAATCAAAGGACATTTTGCTACATCATCGGGGATATAACATTCAGTCTCAAAAAAGATTGTACGAGGAATATTTCTTTTTACCTAATCGAAAAATGCTGTTTGGAGTTGATTTTGAGAACAATTTTCTTAAAGTTTACCTTTTTTGCAAAGCCCCCTCCAGACGTACTTATAATATTCAATTACGCAGACTTTACCGTTTACGTTAACGGAAAATGATGACCTGTAAAAAAAGTTATTCGCACCAGTTAATCTCAAGTCGAAGTTAGAATTAAGCGGAAAGCACTTCCTAACATGCAATAACTTATATCACTATTTAGCTTTATTTAACTACTTTTTTCGCTTTTTTAATTAACTCAAAACCGAACAAGTTATTATCGAAAACTGAATGCAAGTTTACTACGAACTCGATGTTTTTTCACGCGTTATATGTACACGTTTCTCGGGGGAAACTATGAAGTTTCTAAAGTCAAACCTTTCATTGTTGCTATTTTATGATGAATGTCATTTTTCAGAGTGATCTATGGAAAGGTCGATTATGCATTTTAGTATAATAGAGCGTATCCTCGTTGATTTATAAACCGTAAAAACTATCCTTTTCAGAACTTTGCTTTAGAGACAACATTCTTCCTAACCGCATTATATTTAATGCTCAGCGCTATACGACTGTTCATAAACTGCCAAATAAGAGACGTTGATGCTTATTATGCAGCTTGCACTTGAATAATTTATTTGCTTTTGAGTGTTTATAATAAGAATAAGAATAATTTATTTGCTAACATGCATGTCAGTATTTTGCTGCTGTTCTAGTCAAACCAACTGTTCAAAGTCCTCAAATAATTTCAATATTCTTATAACCAGAGTTGTGGTAAGTCATTTTAAACATTAAAATTTATTCCCATGTGACCAAAATTTTTTGTTGATTTGGGAGTTTATAGGTTATAGATGCCCTTAATGATCGAAGGATTACTAACAAGTGGGTTTTCTGCGCAAAACAATACACATACACACGCGTAATTTTTTTGTGGGAGAAGGGGTTTGGGGGAAGCACTCCTATTGGATGTAATTCCTTGTGGTCAATCTCTCATCCCAAGGCTCGTTCTTAAATGGCCGTTACTGAACTGCATGAACTAAACTGAACGGAACTGAACTTTATTTATCCACGGTGGATTCATCAGGGTTACAAATTATAGCTACATGCAATTAAACTATAAATATATAAACACTAACATATATAATACAAATACAAATGAACCTGTTTTCCATGAATGCCGTGTTTATCGAAAGTAACGTTTCAACAATTTTGAAATTCATTTAGGGATTCTGCTTGTCTGATATTACTAAGTATAGGCTGTTCCACAAGATCGCGCCACTATAACTAAAACTGTACATGTTTTTAAGATAATTTGTGCGGGGTATTGGAACAGCAAGCTTGTTCACAGAGTCTCAGTCTTAGTGAATATTTAATTACATCGTTACGATTTATAAATTTGGAATGTAAATATTCAGGAGTGAGACCGTGTGTAGACTTATAAACCATCAACGCTTTCTGAATTTGGCGTTGCGTATTTAGATTGTCCCATCCTAAAATTTCCATTATATGTCCTGCATCGGCGTGAAAGTTTGAAAGGGTTAATACTCGAGCTGCTCGGTTTTGTAGTTTTTGGAGTTGATTGGCTAAGGTCTTTCCACAGTTCCCACATACGACGTTACAATAGTCAAAGTGAGGTTGTATTAGAGCTTGATATATAAATTATAGTGTTTTTGATGAAACAACAGACCTCAAACGCTTAATAACGCCGATAACAGAAGCAACTTTTTTAGTTGTTTGTCGATATGGTAACTCCAGGTTAGATTATCTTCAATTAAGACACAAAGAGATTTTGTTTTAAATACTCTTTTGATTAGAACGCTATCAAATTTTAAATTTTGACTTATGCAGTTAAAATTTTCACGAAGTTGTCATGATGAATACAACTCACTCGAAATGTAAACACAAGCGGGACAAAGAACCAAACAATTATATTTTATTTATTTCGTGCGAGGAGAAAGAAAAGAATAGCGATAGAGATTTGTGGATTTGCTCGCAATGAATATTTGAATGCGAGCTTATACAGTTTAAACGTTTGTCCATATAATTATATGAGACCAATTATCAGTCATCACGTTCAGCAATTGTTGCCATAGCAACGTAAATATTGTGTACTACATAATTTGTTACTAGCTTAATCACAGGACATTTTGCTACATCATCGGGGATATAACATTCAGTTTCAACAAAAGATTGTATGAGGAATATTTCTTTTTGCCCAATCAAAAAATGCTGTTTGGGGTTGATTTTGAAAACGAACGAAAACTTTTTTTAAAGTTTACAACCCTTGAAGTTTTACCGCTGATTTGAATTTCCCTTTCTCAACATTACCTTTTTTGCAAAGCCCCCTCCAGACGTACTTATAATATTCAATTACCAGACTTTACCGTTTACCTTAACGGAAAATGATGTCCGGTAAAAAAGTTATTCGCGCCAGTTAATCTCAAGTCGAAGTTAAAATAAAGCGGAAAGCACTTCGTAACATGCAATAACTTATGTAACTATTTAGCTTTATTTAACTACTTTTTTCGCTTTTTTAATTAACCCAAAACCGAACAAGTTATTATTGAAAACTGAATGCAAGATTACTACGAACTCGATTTTTTTTCACTTGTGATATGTACACGTTTCTCGGGGGAAACTATGAAGTTTCTAAAGTCAAACCTTTCATTGTTGCTAATTCTATGATGAATGTCATTTTTCAGAGTGATCTATGGAAAGGTAGATTATGCATTTTATATTATTAGAGCGTATCCACGTTGATTTATAAACCGTTTGAGAACTTTGCTTTAGAGACAACATTCTCCTTTACCGCATTATATTTAATCCTCGGCGCTATACGACTGTTCATAAACTGCCAAGTAAGAGACGTTGATGCTTATTATGCAGCTCGCACTTACATAATTGTTGTTGAGTGTTTATAATAAGAATAAGAATAATTCATTTGATGGTATGCATATGAGTATTTTCATTGCTACTGTTCTAAGCAAACCAATCGTTCAAAGTCCTGAAATAATTTCCAATATATCTTATAACCAAAGTTATGTACACACGCTACGTGCCAAGAAAGTATAGCTAGCCTCTAAGACATCAACTTGACCAACCAACACACGCTAGTTGAACAGTATAGCATTCGACTGATCTATGATTAAAAAAATTACTTAAAGCTGAGTCTATGAGCTTGAACGTGACAATCAGAAGCGCTTTTCCCCAAGCCCTTTAAAATTGAAGCTATTTTAGATGACGCATTGAATATTCTTCATAGTTTTAGATTATTTCATGATCACGTCGTTTAAAAATTTAGTTTGTGAAATAAGAGATCAAAGTTCGCTAGCGCCATGTGGGAAAAATAAACAAACTGTAACAATTAAGCAAACTACGTGCTCACGAGAATGATCGTCAGTCACGAGCTTTGCTCAATCATGTCGCACAATTAATCTCCATCTTGGCTAAACTGACACTCGAAAAATATCTGGCTATTGCAGCGCCGGTTAAATATGTGTGTTATGGCGCGCTTTTGTTTAATAATAACATTAACACACATCTCGATCTAGCTTTACCATAAAACATGTCAGTGTAAAACTTTGAAATATTTATGGACGTTGATACAGAATTTTTTGAAACAAGTGAAATAAATGAAATTATTTTTTATTACCGTATATTGTAAGGAAACGTTCAAAACAAAGTGTTGAAGCTAACCCATGTAATCTTTGTCATGATAACTGTCAAAGGCTAAAATGCATCTCATTGAAGCGCGTGTATGTCGATTACGTGGCTATATCAACTTAATTGAATTTTCAAATTTTCACGAAACACAGGCAACATCATATCTCACGATCATTTTCTATTGGTCTTTTCTTGGTCATAACTCGTATGAAAAATATCTTCCAGAATTACCGAGTCAGACAAGAAACGATTTAAACGATGTTTGTTGCGGCCAGCTTGAGCTTGCTGTTGCTTGCTATTGGAAACATTTCAGCAAACCAATGTTCCCCGACGAATTACGACACAATCATAAAAGGTGAGTATTGTGGAAAAAAGTTAGAGAAAAAATTAACCATTCAAACACCATTAAAACGTTTCATATGGTGAAATCAGTCCAGAATAAAACACATAATTTTAGTTGACATTTGGACATTAAAATATTTGTCTTTGAAGAATTTTGTTGAAATTTTTAGCAGGTCCATCATTGCCTGCGGATGAAATAATATCAAGACACAATGTTACATCTTCAGTTGTCATGTTGGGATGTCACACTCACTGCAAAGACGAAGACAAATGTGTTGGATTCAACTACAGAACAACAAAAAATGTTGAGAATTGCCAACTGACCAACGTTACTAGAAAGAAAGAAGAAACGAAACTGACCGGATATTGGATATTGATGATATTGATGAGAAATGTTGAAGCAGTAAGATTGATAAATTAAATGATATTTAAGAAAATATAGAAGAAATAATCCGTGTTTCTATATACAGTTACTTTTGACCATTTTTACAATATTACTGTGGTATGAAAATAAAAAACTCTGGGATATTTGTGAATAAATTGGAACAAATGAGACTATTTCAGTCATCAGGTGTGAAAATTATATAATCTGACTGTCACTTTTCAATCATTTTTGTCACAAAAACATAGATTTTGCACCAAATATATATTGCCAAACTTTGCACAAATAAGAGGAAGAAATATTAAATACATTTCAAAACTTAAGACGAGATGGTTTGGAAAAAACTAAATTTTTACCTGAGTTTGTGTCGGCCTTTTCCATTTTCCCAGACGAAAGCGCCGAAAAGATTAATGAAAACATCACAAAAACGCCTCAATTGAAAGGCAAAACTTTCAAACCTGAAAACTATGATAACAACGATGAAACCAAGCTGAAAGGTATCGAAAAATACGTAAAACAAAGGCGAAAAACGGCATTTAACTCGGCGAATAGTTTTGTACTGCAAATAATACAAAATACTGTTTTTTTGCATAATAAACCTCGTTTCCATGCTCCGCGAAGGCGCGGTTACGAAGTTTTGCAATTGGTCTATAGGACGAGTTTTTCCTAGTGTTTCTATAAATATATAGAAACACGAGTACGGTAATAAATGTTTTCTACTTTATTTATCATATAACTCATTAAAAAGATTTTATACAATTGTCAAGTTCGGCAGGAAAGTTCCTGAGTTTCTATACAGTTATAGAAACACACTTCTTGACCAATCAGAAAGCGCGTACTGTAATATTATTTGGATGTCGTATATCAGTGAATTATTATGAAAATCCATAAACAAGACAAAGTGTAGTAGACAAGAACCAGCATGCGCAGAGTTTCTAAACGCCTACGGGCTATATCTCGTCCGTTCGACAGCAGTTTAAAAACTATACAAAAAATAATTATATTAACTATATACGTATGTTCGTACGCTATACCATATGTTCAAACCCAATACTAATGTCACCTCCGTACCCACAGAACTTTAACGTGAGTATTTAGGGACTTGAAGTTGAATCCAGCGGTTGCTGTAAATACTCAGGACGCTAATATCTTTTGATTATATGAATTTTTATTCATTACATAGAAATTCGTCAATACCGTTCTACAGAGACGTGCTCTTTGAAATGTTTAGTGGGGCTAAATTATTACAAAAAATTACAAGCCATTTTATAGTTCAGCTGGTGGTAAAGGCGAGGCAGAAAAACAATTAAGATTAGCAAAATATTTTTAGACAGTGTTACACACTAGGCGATCAAGTCTATTTCCCAACAGAATTTTATCTCTAAATCGTCAGTTTCGTCAGTTTCAGGCATTTCCTTGCCCGCCTACCAGAAACCACAAATTGTGCGCAAAACATTGGCGTGACTCGGCACTACAAATCCGTTCAACATGAAGCTAAAGATAATAATAACTGAGAACCTAAATTATTATTATTTACACAGCTGTGGTAGCATGCAAATTAATAGCACTGGTACCCAACCCACAGAAAACATTGTAAACAACATCCTTCAAACAAAGTCAGTGATATTTAACTGTTTTCATACTGCGAAACACAATCATTTCAATTTTCAAACGTTGATAGTTTCTTCATACCGATGATAAACATAGGCAAAATATAGACTACATAGAAATAAATTAATAATAAATCGTCACTGGACCTGCAAAAAGGTGTTGTTCAAAATTTGTTTACGATTTCGTTTGAAGAACGTCAAAAACCTGTCCCGAAGAAATTTGAACTTTTTGAAACTTGTAACTTTCGGCACAATTTAACTTACTTTAAATTAACCATGGTTTTGGCAGTTTTTTTTGTTCTGCGAACAAGACTTGATTGCCTGAATCAAGCAATCCTTAGTGCAAGTCGATGTACGAATTTCAGAAATCCGTATACTGTAAGCAAGGTATATTGGTCGGTCAATTTGGTTCGCTTAATTAAATCATTTCTCCGCCGCCCCAAATTTCGAGGCCTTTGCGTCTTTTGTGATCAGATATTTTTAAGCAATAACGTCAAAGATAGCAGGAGTGATTTACTGAAGTTTTCCTCGCTTTGCTGATTATTTTATGTACAATTAATGCATGGTTAATGACCCTTCACACTCACTTCTGGCAAAGATAACCATATCGAGGACCCGCTTACAATGAACAAAATATTAAATCTGTAGAAAAAGTTCAATCAACGCACAACTTTCTGTTCTCATTACACAAGAAAATATTGTTATTAATAAATTGTAGTAATATGTTTTCTCTATAACTGTGATTTTAGGACCACTCTTTATAAAATCTCTCTTATCCCCCGGATATTGTGACTGAACATAGCGGAGTCAAAAAGGTCATTATCATTGGATGGTTTTGTTAGGTCTGCGCATGTGCAAAATATAAATGAGTGGAAACCATTCATCAGCAACTTTCTCATTAGCTGAGTAAGAAATTCCTATTTTTTTATAAAATTGTTTTTAAAAACTTCACGAAATAAAATGGGAAAAATAATAACAGATGCAATGAAAATCATCATGAAACATTTATCAAAAACAAAAAGAGTTGTTCTTCAAGAAACGAAAGCGAAAACGGTTTTACGCTCTATATAAAGCTTTGAAATGTTTTGTAATTGTTCATAATATTTCTGTATTTGCTGTGTGAAGAGGGATGCAGTTTATTTATATGTGAGCTTTATACGTCGTTTTCCAAAGTCATATTGGGCTATGAAAGGCTTTTACACCATCGCTTTAATTTAGTGTCTCGAAGATTTCCTTGAATATTATTAATATATAATAGTATAATTTCTCGTGTAATTACGGGATAAACATAGAGTCGTGAGTCTTTAAAGACTATTAATACCACTCGTTCTTCGGACTCGCGCTGTTTTGAAGCCTTAAAATACTCACTCGTGCTTGTTAATCCGTAATTGCACTCGATATGATACTGTAACTTATACTAATATATTTACTAATGTATAAAGAATAAAATCAATTTTTTAATAATTTCAGTATTTTTTTGTAATCAATTTTGTGTAGGCGAAGAAGGCGGTTGAAGAAGAAAATCTTATCAGGAAATCAGGTAATTTGCTTTATATTTATCAAAAACATCATAATTTTAAATTTTGGAACTTTTGGAATATCATTCGGCACAAAACGACGAGATTTTCAATATTAACTAAATTATTTTATTAACTATTATAATATTATGCAATGAGAATGTTTAAATCTTCTGTCAATATATGCGCCACATCAATGCAATACGTATCAATGAACCTCGAGCGGGACCTCTCAGTTTAATGAAGTTTTTGTTTGGGGTAGCGACTCGAACCCTAACCCTTAGCAAAAACCATGGCTATTCGCTAGCGAAGTAGAAATGCTGATCCAGCCGGTCAAGAAGTTGCTTGAAAAATTGTGAGACCAGTAGTCTAACTTCAAAAATAATATCAAAAAAAATTTTTTCATGCTTGAGAGATCGTATTATAGTGAAAATTACATTGTCTTAATTTCGAGTGGGATTCATTCAATTAAAGCCAGGATGAGTTGAGGAAAGTGTGTTAAATATCGGTATTCTGCCAGGAATCGAATTAAGCTATACGCCTTTGCGACCCCGGTGCAATCTGCAATGCTTCTGCATCAGCTCAGAAGAACGGGTGGAGTTGGTGTGGATTAAGAATCGTAATTCCTGCAAGTAGGCGACTGAATCACTGAATTAAGGCTCTGTGTCCTAATTTTGAGTGGAAATGATACACACATTTATTTCAGACGTTGACGAGTGTTCCCTGGGAACTCACAAATGTCACTCAAACGCAACCTGCAATAACACCATTGGCTCCTACGAATGTCACTGTCACGGAGGATTTGCTGGAAATGGGAAAACATGCTTAGGCAAGATTATTTTAATCGACTTTTTAATATAGCTAGAGGTTCAAACCAAGTAGACAAAGTTATCTATATAAGCACTTCTAGTTCTAAGGAATCTGGTACGAAATTGTTCTCTCTTATGAAGTCGATTGTACCAGCATTCTTTTGACGGATAATTTCTTAAATGCAATGCAGTGCAATGCAATGCAATGCAATGCGTGAAGTTATATTAAACAATGTAAGTGGTCTTCGACTAGGCTCCTGACAAGATCGTTTATTTCAGATGTTGACGAGTGTTCCCTGGGATCTCACAAATGTCACTCAAATGCCACCTGCAATAACACTATTGGCTCCTACGAATGTCACTGTCGCAGTGGATTTTTAGGAAATGGGAAAACATGTTCAGGCAAAATTAATTATTTTACATTATATTAATTTTACTAACATGTTATACTTGTATCAGCTATACATTTTGTAGGCGTCAGCCATCCATTTTTAACGCAAGAATTTCTATCATATTATAATTATGGTTTATGAACTTTTTATCGTTCATTTCAGATGTTGACGAGTGTTCCCTGGGAGCTTACAAATGTCACTCAAACGCAACCTGCAATAACACTATTGGCTCCTACGAATGTCACTGTCGCTCAGGATTTGCTGGAAATGGGAAAACATGTTCAGGCAAGATTATTTTAATGACTTTTTATATTGCAAGAAGTTCGAACCAAGTAGACATGCAAAGTTATCGATATAAGCACTAAGTTTTCTAGCTGTAAGGAATCTGGTACGACATTGTTCCGTTATAGGAAGTCGAGTGTACCAGAATTCTCTTGACGGATAATTTCATAAATGCAATGCAATGCAATTCATGAAGATATATTAAACAAAATGTAAGTGGTCTTCGACGAGGCTCCTAACAAGATTGTTTATTTCAGACGTTGACGAGTGTTTCCTGAGAACTCACAAATGTCACTCAAATGCAACCTGCAATAACACTATTGGCTCCTACGAATGTCGCTGTCGCGGAGGATTTGTTGGAAATGGGATAACATGTTCAGGTAAAATTATTTTAATCGACTTTGTATAGCTAGGGGTTCGAACCAAGTAGACAGAGTTATCGATATAAGCACTTCTAGCTGTAAGGAATCTCGTACGACATTGTTCTCTCTTATGAAGTCGAGTGTACCAGAATTCTTTTGACGGATAATTTCTTAAATGCAATGCAATTCATGAAGATATATTAAACAATGTAAGTGGTTTTCGAACAGGCTCCTGACAAGATAGTTTATTTCAGACGTTGACGAGTGTTCCCTGGGAACTCACAAATGTCACTCAAATGCAACCTGCAATAACACTTTTGGCTCCTACGAATGTAACTGTCGGAGAGGATTTGCTGGAAATGGGAAAACATGTTCAGGCAAGATTAATTATCTTACATTATAATAAAATTACTATTTACTAACATGTTATACCTGTATCAGCCATAAATTTTATAGGCGTCAGATCAATTTTTAACGCAAGAATTTATATCATATTATAATTATAGTTTATGAACTCTTTATCGTTCATTTCAGACGATGATGAGTGTTCCCTGGGAACTCACAAATGTCACTCAAACGCCACCTGCAATAACACTATTGGCTCCTACGAATGTCACTGTCGCGGAGGATTTTTAGGAAATGGGATAACATGTTCAGGCAAGATTATTTTAATCGACTTTTTTATATAGCTAAAAATTAGAACCAAGTAGACAGAGTTATGGATATAAGCATTGCAAGAGGTGAGCAATCTGGTACGACATTGTTCTCTCGTATGAAGTCGAGTGTACCAGCATTCTTTTGACGGATAATTTCTTAAATGCAATGCAATGCATGAAGTTATGTTAAACAATGAAAGTGGTGTTCAACTATGCTTACGTTGATTTTTTATAATTACGTTTATTTCAGAGGTTGACGAGTGTTCCCTGGGAACTCACAAATGTCACTCAAATGCCACCTGCAATAACACTATTGGCTCCTACGAATGTCACTGTCGCAGAGGATTTGCTGGAAATGGGACAACATGTTCAGGCAAGATTATTTTAATCGACTTTTTTATATAGCTAGAGGCTCGAACCAAGTAGACAAACTCATCGATATAAGCACTTCTAGCTGTAAGGAATCTGGTACGACATTGTTCTCTCTTATGAAGTCGAGTGTACCAGCATTCTTTTGACGGATAAATTTCTTAAATGCAATTTAATGCAATGCATGAAGATAAATTATATCAAACAATGTAAGTGGTCATCGACTATTCTCCTGACAAGATGGTTTATTTCAGATGTTGACGAGTGTTCCCTGGGAACTCACAAATGTCACTCAAACGCTACCTGCAATAACACTATTGGCTCCTACGAATGTCATTGTCGCAGAGGATTTGCTGGAAATGGGAAAACATGTTCAGGCAAGATTATTATAATCGATTTTTCATATGCAACTCAAATTTGAATCATTTTTCTTAACTGTTCCCTGACTGAATTTTAGTTGTGATTTCCTCTCAAAATGAAAAGTCTCAAACCTTCTTTTTTTAATTATCCTTAATCGAGTAAAGTGCTACAAAATCAATATAATTATATTTTCCTGGGGAATAGAAAGAATCTCAATTTTTTCTTTGTGGGGCACAAGTCTCCAGAGGAACTTTTCAGTTAATAAACAGGGCAGCTAAAATGCGTATATGCATGGGTGGTTTAGTTGCTTTAGTTTGTTTTTTCGTGAAAAATTTTAAGTTTAGAATGTATACAATTTTTTGCGTTTTACACTATTTCGGAAGGTTCTGGTTTATTTGGCATAGCAGGCAAATTTAAAGTTTATTTCTAACGCGCAGACAATGTTAAAACATGACAAAATAAGGAACCTGCAAAACGTAATCTTAATAAAACACAATCAAGATACACACGAACTGGTCAATGTTCCGATGATACTTACGAATGGCCTGTTATTTTGTTGAGCAAAATGGCATTAATAAGAAAATAAAGAGTATTTTCATCCTAAAAATAGCATAACTATTAAGGCATTGTCAACATGAAATATTTTATTTTGGATAAGTCATATCTCATTGTGTTTAAAAACAAAAGGGCATTTTTGATATAAACACCCCCCCCCCCCCCCCCGCTAAGTCAAACTTGGCAATTGTACTAATTTTCTTATGCCCTCACAGAAATTTCTTTTTTGCCTTAATCTGAAAGCTGGAACTAACGGGAACTAATTCAAGAGGTTTTTAACGCGTTTACAGTAAATTATTATTGCATTTATTAACCATAGGCCACTAAATTGTGATATAAATCCGTATTTTTAAGGTCTCCACTGCGCTGATTTGTATGAAAAGGGAAAGAATAAAAGCGGCATTTATGAAATTGATCCAGATGGAAAGGGAAGTTTCAAAGTGTTTTGCGATATGACAACATCAGGTGGAGGATGGACTGTATTTCAACGTCGTCTTGATGGAAGTGTTGACTTCTACCGAGGATGGCAAGATTACAAACAAGGTTTTGGTAACTTGAGCGGAGAATATTGGCTTGGTCTTGACAAAATACACAGGATGACAAATATTTCACAAAATGAACTTCGTATCGACCTGGAAGACACATCTGGAAACACTGCATACGCTCATTATGATTCATTTAATGTCAGCAGTGAAAATGAGAAGTACAAGTTGAATGTTGGAGGTTATCATGGTAAGCATTTTACACTAAACTTATTCATATTTTTATAAAATTATAAGATAGTCCAGCTTTCTATGCAATCAACTTTGCAGTGAACTATTAAATCCAGTATATTAAATATCGTATAAATTATAGGAATATTATCAATGAGCTATCCATAAATATAATTGAAACGAGGCAGTTTTTGTATTAACTCGAGAAACGTAAAATATCTCCATTTGGAAAATTTGCTAAACTTTTAACAAAACAAAAATCTCAGGACATTCGATTACGTGCATTAATTATTGCACTCCTATTCGTTTCTATTACCATTATTTGCAGGATCCCACTGTAAAACACTATATATAGGTGATGTGGTTATCCTGGTTAAGTATAATAATAATTAATTGATTTTTTTGCATTAATTAAGGTACAGCAGGAGACTCGTTGAGGAGACATGACGCTATGGCTTTCAGCACCAAGGACTCTGACAATGATATTTGGGATAATGGTAACTGTGCGGTGAAATTCAAAAGTGCCTGGTGGTTTTATGATGGTTTTGAATCCAATTTGAATGGTTTGTATCATTATGGCAAACACACATCGTACGGTGATGGAGTCGTCTGGGACCATTGGAAAGGATATCGTTATTCTCTGAAATCAACATCGTTGAAGATACGACGACGTGAATTTGGAAAGAAGAAATAAAGATGTTGAACAATAAAAAGACATAAGGTTTACTTTACAAAAAATGTAGTGCACTAATACGTGTCTTGTTAGTTTTTCAAAATATTTAGAATAGAGATTTTTTTCCTACCATTAGCCTAACCCGTAGTTAATAGAATATACACAGTTTGGAGACTAAATAAAAGTACAATACAAGTCATTAACTATGTTATTGTCCAGGTTTATGCAAAAAATGGTTCCTTTCTCGTCACGTATCTATTGTATTTTAGCGAAACTTACCAATGGCATTCGTCTTGCAAAGCTCATCAACCCGGATTTGAAAAATATGTTAATTATCGTTTAATGATGAAGAAGAGAGCAAATGCATGATTAAATTTGCGTGCATGATATGTCTACAACTGAGGAGCCTTGTCCCAGAGTTAGTCAGCGAAACCTGTTAAAATCTTTAAAATCTAAACCTAGATTAGTTTAACCAGTGTTAGCCGGGAGATTAGTAAGTTGACACACATGGTGATCGAGGTGGGTTAAATTTAGCCCATGGGTTAGCACACTAATTCGTTTCGAACAACGCAATAAATTATAACCCCACGGAATAAAATTTATCTCTAGCTTAAGCCATTTTAGTCTGCCTTTGAACAACCAGCCCGGCTGTGATGGTCAAAAGAGGTTTAAAAGAGGTTTTGGTCATAAACCATTCTCAGCACATAACTGAGGGTGGAAAGGTGTATAAAGTAGCATTCTGTGTATTTTTTTGTTAAAATATTTATCTGGTTAATTATTCACCATTGCTTCAGGAGAATGTCATAATCCCGTTACCTTTGTAATTTGTCGGAAACTTTAATTACGAAATTTTCTATAGCTTTCCAAATCCCCGTTACGCCGTGCTTGAAGAAATATCTCGTGTAGTTTGTCTCGAGACGGTGAATTGTCAATGTCAGACGTGATGTTGTGTTTAAGACCCAAAGTTAACTGAATGACACCCGTGAGGACCTCAGTTTTAATATTAACATCTGTTTCAGTAAATACGGATAAAAAAACGATCTAATTTCGTAGCTAGATCACAACAGAAATGAGCAGAATCGTGTTTTTTGCATCCGCTTACAGTCATATAAGTAGATGATGACTTTTAAACCTTTATTTACGCTAAAACATAAAATGGAAAGCGATAGCTGATCGCAGAAACTAATACGCCAGTTTCAATTACCACGGCCTCGTTAGAAACGAGAAACTAAGAACGCTTTCCTTTATGTGGTGAAGAAGCTCACACCGGCCCTGTTGTATTCAGATACTGATAGATTACTGGTATTTAGAGTGTTTCAAGAACTCTGAATTCAAGTATATCGTTATTTACATCTTTCTATCACGGAAATGCAGTTTCACCCCCTATTCTTCACGAAACACTCTGTTTCAATTCAAAATATAACCGATCTCACCATAAATTTTTTAATCGATTGCAATTTCTCTATAATTATTGTTCTGTATTTATTCAGGACATTGTAAGGAGGTCAATTTGAAATGTTTTTATATGCAGGTTCCTTGGTCTCTATAAGACGCGATTCCTCATAATGTGTGCCTTAATAATCTAGTATTCAGATGAGCTCTCTTGAGCTCATGAATTAAGTTAGAAGATTGCATGGAATTTCGGAATAACATCTTGTAAATTAATATTCACACGTAACGTAACCAGATAACGAAAATCCGTCTTGACCTCGAGCAGACTACATGACAACACCAGAACCTGTTGGAAATACATTGCCGCTCTTTCCATCCTCTTTGTTAACTCATTCAGTGATGTGGGGGTAATTGCTTTGATCAAGTTTCGTTTGTAAACACTGTACGATTTTGCCATATTAATGCTCATAATTATTCGTTGTGTTACATTATTGATTTTTAAGACGCCATGCATCTACTTTTGCAGACTCGTTGAAAAATTAAATGAAAACGGTATGGCTTTCAGCACCAAGGACAATGATATTTGGAATGGTAACTAACTGTGCAGTGAAATGCAAAGCAGGCTGGCGGTATCTTCATTGTCATCAATTCAATTTGAATGTTTTTTCCTGTTATGGCCCTCACACATCCCGTGCTGATGGAGTCAACATTGGGCAGGTTATCGTTATTCTCTGAAATCAACATCGATGAAGATACGACTACGTGAATTTGGAAAGATGAAATAAGGTTGTTGAACAATAAAGAACTAAGAAGATTTAAAATAAGGTTTACCTTATAAAAAGTGCACTGCACTAACACGTAGGTTCTTAGTTTTTCCAAATATTTAAAATAGTGTAATAAATGTCGTATATTTACATACAGGAGATTCTTCCCTACGCCTAGCCAAAACCGAAGTGAAAGTTCAAAAAATAAACTAACTGTATAAAAGTGTATTTTAATTTATTCATATGAGCTAATTTTCATGACAACTATATCTTCACTTGTCACATTACATATAGTAAATAATATATATCAGCATCCCAAAAAACTCGAAATGTAAACTCAAGACGGCAAAGAAACAAACAATCAATATTTTATTTATTTCGCGCGAGGAGAATGGAAAAATTAAGATATCGTCAAAAATCCACTTTTTGTGGATTTGCTTGCAATGTATATTTGAATGCGAGCTTATACGGTCCAAACGTTTGACCATATATCTGACACTATTAATCAGCCATCACCTTCAGCAATTGTTGCCATAACAACGTAAATATTGTGTAATACATAATTTGTTACTAACTTAATCAAAGGACATTTTGCTACATCATCGGGGATATAACATTCAGTTTCAACAAAAGATTGTATGAGGAATATTTATTTTTACCCAATCAAAAATGCTGTTTGGAGTTGATTTTCAAAATTAAAAATGACTTGTTTTAGAGTTTACATCCCTTGGACTTCTAGCGCTGATTTAAATTTCCTTTTCCCAACATTATCTTTTTTGCAAAGCCCCCTCCAGACGTACTTATAATATTCAATTTTGCAGAATTTAATGTTTACGTTAACGGAAAACGATGTTCGGTAAAAAAAGTTATTCGCGCCAGTTAATCTCAAGTTGAAGTTAAAAAAGCGGAAAGCACTTTTTAACATGCAATAACTTATGTAGCTATTTAGTTTTATTTAATTACTTTTTGCGCTTTTTTAATTGACTCAAAACCGAACAAATTAATATCGAAAACTGAATGCAAGATTACTACTATTTTTTTTTCACGCGTGATACGTACACGTTTCTCGGGGGAAACTATGAAGTTTCTAAAGTCAAACTATATATTCATTGTTGCTATTATTTTTATGATGAATGTCATTCAAATTTTCAGAGTGATCTATGGAAATTAAGGTAGATTATACATTTTAGTATAATGGAGCGTATCCACGTTGATTTATAAACCGTAAAAAACCCGTTTGAGAACTTTGCTTTAGAGACAACATCCTCCTTTACCGCAATATATTTAATGCTCGGCGCTATACGACTGTTCATAAACTGTCAAATAAGACGTCAATGCTTATTATGCAGCTTGCACTTCAATAATTGATTTGGTGTTGAGTGTTTATAATAAGAATAAGAATAATTTATTTGCTAGCATGCATATCAGTATTTTGCTGCTGTTCTAGGCAAACCAACTGTTCAAAGTCCAGAAATAATTTCCAATATCCTTGTAACCAGAGTTGTGGTAAGTAATTTTACACATTAAAATTTATTCTCACTCACTTTGTTTCGCAAAATGTGACCAAAATATTTTGTTGATTTGGGAGTTTGTAGGTTATAAATGCCCTTAATTATCGAAGGATTACTAACAAGTGGGTTTTCTGCGTAAAACAATACACATACACACGCGCGTGGTTTTTTTGTAGGAGAAGGGGTTTGGGGGAAGCACTCATACATGATGTAATTCCTTGTGGTCAATCTCTCATCCCAAAGGCTTGTTCTTAAATGGCCGTTAAATCGTTGTCCTGGGGTTTATATTCTCCCAATTAGGATTCCCATGATGTCATGTGCACACGCTACATACAATGAAGGAGGTAGCTAGCCTCTAAGACATCAACCTGAAACATTCAAAATAAAGTGTTAAAGATAACCCAACTTTGACAAAACTGTCAAAGCTAAAATGCATCCCATTGATTGGCTGACTTGTACAGTTTAAATTTTCACACAGTTGCAATGACGAAAATAGCTGAAGACACCGGTTCACTGTTATCTATTTGTTCATACTTTTATATGAATTTTTCCGAAGCAACCTAAACCATCTATTGTAATACCAATTCCGAAACCATTCAACGCCACCAACTTCCATGAAGATGATTTTAAACCAACAAGTCTTACTTCGCAGATATAGCTAAGCTGTGGGAGGGTTTTCCCTTAATTCCTAGCCCGCGAATAACGGAATATATTTATACGCTTATTCCACGGTGGGGGACGCGTTAAGCAGATCTATTTATTGCGCCCCCCCGTGGAATAAGCGTATAAATAGATTCTGTTATCCGCGGGCGACTTAATTCCTTGCTTTCAGAGATGAGAGATTAGTGATCAACTTGATGGTTTTAAAAACAATTAGCTGTGTCAGGAAAGTCGACTACTAACCCAGGCCTTTGTATATCTTCTCCATGCACCTAATCCATGCTGGACTAGACCGACATCGGTCAATGGCTTAACCGCACGACCGCCGATAAGCGTTTAGCTAATATTTTAAAAAAGATGACGTTTCCTTAGGCGAAGTGACCCGCAGATAGTTACCTCAAAATTTCGTATGAAATCCTGTTTTATTTCGCTAATTTGATGTCTTTCGATGTTGTTTAAAAACGTGGAAACTTCAGGCTAATGTTGTGCAAACCTTGGTGATTATTAGGCTGTAGATTTTGTGCCATTTCTTCAGGAAATTTCGCGAATAATTATACATTTGCGAAACTATAACTGTAATGTTTTAATAAACTCTTTCCTATAAATAAAACTTTTCGTTATACATAGACGATGTAAACAAAGTAAGCACGCGCGCAAGTATCACACGCGCAGTCAAAGTCTGGGCTGCCTATGTCTGTACTTCAAAATTTTGTATTGTTTTGATGTTTTTTCTGAAGCCTCATATGTTGAAATTTTAACAGTTTACTAAGCTGGTAGGGTCTATAAACGCCTTTAGAAAACGAGTGACATCTTCAATGTTATGACTATATTTTGTACGAAATGATAAAAATATTGGCTATCGACGCTTTGCCATTGAGTCATTCCATAATATAAACTTATAGTTATAGCTAATCTAGGCCCATGATATTATTTTCATGGTTGAAAATGGCGAGGGGTGCTTCATTTCATGTATTTCTAGTCATAAAATAAAACGAGTATTATTTTTATCAATATATGTGTTATCACGTGCTTTTTTAAAATAATATATACATTAACACACATCTTTGCATTAACACATTTTTTGCTAAAAAGGAACAGTAATATTTATGAGCAGCTGCCAGTTTCAGAGTTTAAATACTTGTTGATATACAATACTTGAAACAAATGAAATGAATAAAATTATTTTTTATTGCCGTATAAGAAACATTCAAAATAAAGTTTTGAAGATAACCCAACTTTGACAAAACTGTCGAAGGCTAAAAAAATGCATCCCATTGAATGGCTAACTTAGCTACAGTTTAAGTTTTCATGCAGTTGCAATGCTGAATATAACTCGAAATGTAAACACAAGCGGGAAAGAACAAAGAACCAAAAAAATAATATTTTATTTATTTTGTGCGAGGAGATAGAAAAGAATAGAGACAACGTCCAAAAACTACTTTTTGTGGATTTGCTCGCAATGAATATTTGAATGCGAGCTTATACAGTTTAAACGTTTGACCCTATATATATGAGACTATTAATCAGTCATCACGTTCAGCAATTGTTGCCATAACAACGTAAATATTGTGTAATTCATAATTTGTTACTAACTTAATCAAAGGACATTTCGCTACATCATCGGGGATATAACATTCAGTTTCAACAAAAGATTGTATGAGGAATATTTCTTTTTACCCAATCGATAAATGCTGTTTGGAGTTGATTTTGAAAACGACTTGTTTTAAAGTTTACATCCCTTGGACGTCTTTTAGCGCTGATTTAAATTTCCCTTTCTCAACATTATCTTTTTTGCACTGCCTTCCTAGACGTAGTTATAATATTCAATTTTGCAGACTTTAACGTTTACGTTAACGGAAAACGATGTTCGGTAAAAAAAGTTATTCGCGCCAGTTAATCTCAAGTTAATTAAGTTAGTTAAAATAAAGCGGAAAGCACTTTTTTACATGCAATAACTTATGTAACTATTTAGTTTTATTTAATTACTTTTTGCGCTTTTTTAATTAACTCAAAACCGAACAAATTATTATCGAAAACGGAATGCAAGACTCCTATACGAACTGGATTTTTTTTCACGCGTGATATGTTCACGTTTCTCGGGGGAAACTATGAAGTTTCTAAAGTCAAACTTTTCATTGTTGCTATTCTATGATGAATGTCATTTTTCAGAGTTATCTATGGAAAGGTCGATAATGCATTTTAGTATAATAGAGCATATCCTCGTTGATTTATAAACCGTAAAAACTATCCGTTTGAGAACTTTGCTTTAGACAACATTCTCCCTAACCGCATTATATTTAATGCTCGGCGCTATACCACTGTTCATAAATTAACTGCCAAATAAGAGACGTTGATACTAATTATTATGCCTTAAATTATTTATTTGCTGTTGAGGGTTTATAATAAGAATAAAATAATTTATTTGCTAGTAAGCATATCAGTATTTTGCTGCTGTTCTAAGCAAACCAATTGTTCAACTGAGTCCTGAAATAATTTCCAATAATCTTATAACAGAGTTGTGGTAAGTCATTTTAAACATTAAAATTTATTCCCACTCACTTTGTTTGGCAAAATGTGACCAAAATTTTATGTTGATTTGGGTGTTTGTAGGTTATAGATGCCCTTAAAGATCGAAGCCGTTCTGATGATTACTAACAAGTGGGTTTTCTGCGCAAAACAATACACATACACACGCGCGCTTATTGTGGGCGTTTGGGGGAAGCATGACTCCTATACTCCTTGTGGTCAATCTCTCATCCCAAAGACTCGTTCTTAAATGGCCGTTAAATCGTTGTCCTGGGGTTTATATTCTCCCAATTAGGACTCCCATGATGTCATGTGCACACGCTACATGCCATGAAAGAGGCACGACCCGCACAACCGCTGATAAGCGTTTAGCTAATATTTTAGAAAAGATAAGGTTTCCTTAGGCGAAGTGACCCACGGATTGTTTTCTCAAAATTTCGTATGAATTCCTGTTTTATTTTGCTAATTTGATGTCTTTCGATGTTGTTTAAAAACATGGAATTCCAGGCTAATGTTGGGCGAAAATCGGTGATTATTAGGCTGTAGATTTTGTGGCATTTCTTCAGGTAATTTCGCGGATAATTAATTTTTACATTTACGAAACTATAACTGTAATGTTTTAATAAACTCTTTCCTTCCTTGTCGTTATAATATAGACGATGCATGTAAGTCTGAGCTGCCTGTGTCTGACTGTCTATACTTGAAGATTTTGTATTGTTTTGAACGCCTGTATATAAACGCCTGTAGGAAACGGGTGACATCACCTTCAATGTTGTGACTATATTTTGTACGAAATGATGAAAATATTGGCTTTCGACGCCTTGCCATTGAGTCATTCCATAATAAAAACTTATAATTATAGCTCATCTAAGCCCAGGAGAAGGAGATTGTTTTCATAGTTGAAAATGGCGAGGGGTGCTGCATTTCATGTATTTCTAGCCATAAAATAAAACGAGTATTATTTTTATCAACGTATGTATTATGACTTGATAAAGTAAAATATTTAAAATAATATATACATTAACACACAGCTTTGCATGAACATATTTTTTGCTAAAAAGGAACAGTAATATTTATGAGCAGCTGCCAGTGTTAGAGTTTCAATATTTATTCACATACAGTACTTGAAACAAATGAAATAAGTGAAATTATTTTTTATTGCCGTATATTGTAAGGAAACATTCAATATAAAGTTATTGAAGATAACTCAACTTTGACAAAACTGTCAAAGGCTAAAAAAATGCATCATTACCAGAAATTTGCGACATGATAATTTGCATTTATACTAATTTGCATTTAACTTTCAGCATAATGGCCTTCAACTTTTACTATAAAATACATATAGTAAATATACAAAACCTAAAAATGCCGTTGTCCTAGACCGTGCCTACTGTTTGCCGACCTCTGGGTCAATAGAACAGCCGTTTCCCAACGTTTTAATGATCGAATTACTTACCTTAGGTATTTCTACGTTCGGCCAACTGATTGTGAACAAATGTGTATATAGCCTTCGTATCGTTCAAGTTCCTGATATAGGACTGATAATATTTTTTAAAGTGATTGCAGTGACAATCCGAGCCGTACAGAAAAGTTTATACGCAAATACGAAAGACAATATCTTTAACAATTTTTTTTGGTATATTACACGTCAATTCATCAACTACCTGAATCGAGATATTCGAATCAATGTGAGCGATTTTATAAGTTCGTTGACAGAACACGGATGAAACTTTGAGCAATATATTTTTAAATTTGGCAGATTGCAGAAATGCCCAAGCTAAAAAATTTGGTCACCAAAACGTTTCTAAACAGCTGCTCTACCGATCTAGAGGTCGGCAAACAGTAGGCAAGGTCTAAGGCAACGGTATTCTTAAGTTTTGTATATTTACTCTATGTATTTTATAGTAAAAGTTGAAGGCCATTATGCTGAAAGTTAAATGCAAATTAGTATACATGCAAATTATCATGTCGCAAATTTCTGGTAATGCGCATTGAATGGCGACTTATACAGTTTAAATTTTCACGCAGTTGCAATGATGAAAATAACTCACTCGAAATGTAAACACAAGAGGGCAAAGAACCAAACAATTAATATTTTATTAATTTCGTGCGAGCAGATAGAAAATATTAAGATATCGTCTAAAATCCACTTTTTGTGGATTTCCTTGCAATGTATATTTGAATGCGAGCTTATACAGTCTAAACGTTTGACCATATAAATTATATGAGACTATTAATCAGCAATTGTTGCCATAACAACGGAGATTTTGTGGACAACATAATTTGTTACTAACTTAATCAAAGGACATTTTCTACATTATCGGAGACAGCTATAACATTCAGTTTCAATTAACAAAAGATTGCATCAGGAATATTACTTTTTACCCAATCAAAAAATGCTGTTTAGAGTTGATTTTGAAAATGATTTGTTTTAAAGTTTACATCTCTTGGACGTCTTTTAGCGCTGATTTAAATTTTCCTTTCTCAACATTAGACGTAGTTATAATATTCAGTTATGCAGACTTTAAAGCCGGTTTTCCACTAGCGATATTTTTCGCGCGAAGCGACATCTTTCCTTTTCTTCCAGAGCTCTCAACTGCAACCATCTGGAACAAATTGCTCAAATACAAAGGAATAAAGTCGCTTCGCGCGAAAATTATCGCTAGTGGAAAACCGGCTTAACGTTTACCTTAACGGAAAACGATGTCCGGTAAAAAAAGTTATTCGTGCAAGTTAATCTCAAGTCGAAGTTAAAATAAAGCGGCAATTAAGCACTTTTTAACATGCAATAACTTATGTAACTATTAGTTTTATTTAACTACTTTTTTCGCTTTTTTAATTAACTCAAAACCAAACAAGTTATTATTGAAAACTGAATGCAAGATTACTACGAACTCGACTTTTTTTCACGCGTGATATGTTCACGTTTCTCGGGGGAAACTATGACGTTTCTAAAGTCAAACCTTTCATTGTTGCTATTCTATGATGAATGTCATTTTTCAGAGTGATCTATGGAAAGGTAGATTATGCATTTTAGTATAATAGAGCGTATCCTCGTTGATTTATAAACCGTAAGAACTATCCGTTTGAGAACTTTGCTTTAGAGACAACATTCTCCCTAACCGCAATATATTTAATGCTCGGCGCTATACGACTGTTCATAAACTGCCAAATAAGAGACGTTGATGTCTCGATCGTCTTAATACCTCAATATTCTTCGTTTGCTGCGTTGTGTCTACGACGATTGCAGAAAACTTTAGCGGAGGTTGGAATTAGCGGGATACAAATTGGAAGATCAATGCAACAACGTCATTTTTGTTATTTTATCATTTTATATAATTGTGTGTCGCTGAGTAAAGAAGAATTAGTTATATACAAATGTTATTAACTGAAGATGCGTGCAAGTGTAATTTGAACTGTTAGTTTAATTAAGTGTCAGCCAATCAAGTGCGTTATAGTGGGTTGCTATATAATATTATAACTATTATAGTGCAAAGTCCATGTCAAATACAAAGGAATAAAGTCGCTTCGCGCGAAAATTATCGCTAGTGGAAAACCGGCTTAACGTTTACCTTAACGGAAAACGATGTCCGGTAAAAAAAGTTATTCGTGCAAGTTAATCTCAAGTCGAAGTTAAAATAAAGCGGCAATTAAGCACTTTTTAACATGCAATAACTTATGTAACTAATTAGTTTTATTTAACTACTTTTTTCGCTTTTTTAATTAACTCAAAACCAAACAAGTTATTATTGAAAACTGAATGCAAGATTACTACGAACTCGATTTTTTTTCACGCGTGATATGTTCACGTTTCTCGGGGGAAACTATGAAGTTTCTAAAGTCAAACCTTTCATTGTTGCTATTCTATGATGAATGTCATTTTTCAGAGTGATCTATGGAAAGGTAGATTATGCATTTTAGTATAATAGAGCGTATCCTCGTTGATTTATAAACCGTAAGAACTATTCGTTTGAGAACTTTGCTTTAGAGACAACATTCTCCCTAACCGCAATATATTTAATGCTCGGCGCTATACGACTGTTCATAAACTGCCAAATAAGAGACGTTGATGTCTCGATCGTCTTAATACCTCAATATTCTTCGTTTGCTGCGTTGTGTCTACGACGATTGCAGAAAACTTTAGCGGAGGTTGGAATTAGCGGGATACAAATTGGAAGATCAATGCAACAACGTCATTTTTGTTATTTTATCATTTTATATAATTGTGTGTCGCTGAGTAAAGAAGAATTAGTTATATACAAATGTTATTAACTGAAGATGCGTGCAAGTGTAATTTGAACTGTTAGTTTAATTAAGTGTCAGCCAATCAAGTGCGTTATAGTGGGTTGCTATACAATATTATAACTATTATAGTGCAAAGTCCATGTCAATTCTCGACAGTTGCACTTAAATAATTGATTTGCTGTTGAGTGTTTATAATAAGAATAAAAATAATTTATTTGCTAGCATGCATATCAGTATTTTGCTGCTGTTCTAAGCAAACCAACTGTTCAAAGTCCTGAGTTGTGGTAAGTCATTTTAAATAATATATTAAACTTTATTCCAACTTACTTTGTTTCGCAAAATGTGACCAAAATTTGTGTTCATTTGGGTCGGTTTGTAAGGTTATATAGATGCCCGTAATGATCGAAGCCGTTCTGATGATTGCTAACAAGCGGGTTTTCTGCGTAAAACAATAGACATATACATGCACGCGTGCTTTTTGTGGGAGAAGGGGTTTGGGGGAAGCACTCCTATAAGATGTAATTCTTTGTGGTCAATCTCTCATCCCCAAGACTCGTTCTTAAATGGCCGTTAAATCGTTTTCCTGGGGTTTACATTCTCCCAATTGGGACTCCCATGATGTCATATTCACGCTACATACCATGAAAGAGGTAGCTAGCCTCTAAAGCCGCGTTTACACTTCAGACCTAGACCTGCCCTGGACCAGATCTAGGTCAAGTCTAGGTAATATGTGCCCCGTTTACACTGTCTTCCTTGTTGATGATATCGGATAGCCAAAGTATTTGACAAAATACTTGGAATAAGACCAAAAACACGCCGAAAAGTGGTAATACTATATGTATCCTTTGCAAATTATACTATTAAGTTCAAAATTTGTTAGGACTAGGTAAAGCCTGTTCACATTATCAAAATCTTGCCCCAGGTCAAGTCCAGGTCAGGTCCAGGCCACCTTCTGCTGTTGGCCTGGATTTTGTGGTCTAGACCAGATCCAGGCCTGGTCTAGGTTAGATAAACAACGTTCACATCTAGGCCTGGTCAAAGCACCTAGTGTAAACGGGGCTTAAGACATCAACCTGACCAACCGCACACGTTAATTGAACAGTATACGATTCGACTGATCTATGATTACAATAACTTTACGCTGAGTCTATGGGCTTGAACGTGACAATCCCTTGAAATTCAAGCTATTTTAGATAACGCATTGAACATTCTTCTTAGTTTTTTCAAGCCATTTAAAAATTTAGTGTGTGAAATAAGAGTCCTAAGTTGCCTAGCACCAGGCATTGGAGAAAATAAACAAACTGTATCAATTAAGCAAACTTCAATACTGTGAATGTCAGTCACGAGTTTGGCTCAATGATGTCGCACAATTAATCTCCGTCTTGGCTAAATTGACATCCAAAAAAATCTGACTATTGCAGCGTCGGTTAAATATATTATGTGGTATGGTGTGCTTTTGTTCAATATTATATAACATCAACACACATCTTAATTTTATGATCTTTAGCTTGGCCATAAAACATGTCAGTGTAAAACTTTAAAATATTTTATTGACGTTGATACAGAATTTTTTGAAACAAGTGAAATAAATTAAATTATTTTTTATCGCTTCCCTTCATTAGCTTCATATCTAAAAGATACCTTGTCATGACGAGCTCTGTTTTCTGTGTTCTAGATCTCGTACAAAAACAACTCAGACACAGAGTTGGAATAATTTTGGCAATGTGCGTAATTGTCTAACGCACATGCCGATTTATTAATTTTTACTTAACAACAAATTAATTATTAATCAACAAACAATAAATTCAATTACTAAACAATTTGCACAGAAAAGGTGGGGCTAATTTAAACGCCCTACCGAATATACTAATATACCTTTACATTAAGCTCGCGTGAGAAAACGGGGAGGAGGGCGGGTTAAAATTCGATCTGTAATGACCTTGTTGAAGCGAGGAGCAGAATGAATTGGCAGCACATTCTGCTCTTTATCTATACTGACCCTCATCTCCGCTTTTCCACGCGTTACCTATATGTCATCAGAATTCCAGGAAAATTACCTGCGCGTCAAACTAAAGTATTTAATCTACTTTATTATAAAGTCTCAAGTGCAGGAAGCAATAAATTCTTTATGGGTATGCCAATAATTCCTTTTTTGCCGTATATTGTAAGGAAACGTTCAAAATAAAGTGTTGAAGATAACATGATATCTTTGTCATAACTGTCATAGGCTAAAATGCATCCAATTGAAGCGCGTGTAAGTGGATTACGTGGCTAAAGCAACTTAATTGAATTTTCAAATTTTTACGAAACACAGGCAGAATCATAATCATTTCCTATTCGTCTTTTTTTGGTCATATAACTGCGAGAAATATCTTCCAGAATTACCGAAACAGACAAGAGAGGATTTAAACAATGTTTGTAGCGGCCAGCTTGAGCTTGCTGTTGCTTGCTATTGGAAACATTTCAGCAAACCAATGTTCCCCGACGAATTACGACACAATCATAAGAGGTGAGTATTGTCGAAAAAAGTAAGATAAAAAATATTGTCGTTTAAATATTTCATATGGTGAAATCATGCAGTCCCGCATAAAACATATAATTTTATTTGAAATTTGGACATTAATTTGACTTTCAAGATTTTTTTCAAAAATTTTAGGAGGTCCATCATTGCCTGCGAATGAAATAATATCAAGACACAATGTTACATCTTCAGTTGTCATGTTAGGATGTCACACTCACTGCAAAGACGAAGACAAATGTGTTGGATACAACTACAGAACAACAAAAAATGTTGAAAATTGCCAACTGACAAACGTTACTAGAAAGAAAGAAGAAAGGAAAACGGGAGATTGGATATTGATGCAAGATGTTGAAGCGGTAAGATTGATAAATGACAAAGTCAGTGATATTTAACGATTTTTATACTGCAAACCACAATAATTTCAAACACGCTTGTTTATACCGATGCTAAACATGGCAAAATATAAACGATATAAATAAGAAATCGTCATTGGACCTCCGTTGATTTGATACGAAGCAATTAGGGTTGTTTTTCTCCAGTTTCGGTATTAAACAAAGGTGTTGTTCGAAATTTGTTTACCATTTTGTTTGAAGAACTTAAAAATATGTTCCGAAGTCCGAAGAAATTTCAAGCATCCGTAGTACAAGTCGATGTACGAATTTCAGAAATCTGTATAATTGTAAGCAAGGTATGAACTTTCAATTCTGATTTCACGAGAAAACTGGTTAATATTGAACTGTAAGAAAATATTTTCTCCATATCTGCGATCTTTGGATCACTCTGCATACGTGCCAAAATACAACTCTTTTTCCTTAAGAAATGAGAAATATACGGTATCTTATCGGTTATCTATACCGACAAAAATGAACATTGAAGAAATGAAGATATTATAAATTATAAAGAATGAAGAAATTATTGTTGTGATATATTAGTTAAGTATATAAAGAATAAAATCAATATTTTATTAACTTTAGTATTGTTGTAATTAATTTTGTATAGGTAAAGAATAGAGTTGAAAAAGAAAAGCTTTCCAGGAGGAAATCAGGTAATTTGCTTTAGAATTATCACAAATAACGCAATTATAAATTTTGGAACATTCGGAATATCATTCGGGACAAAACTGCGTGAATTTTGAGATTAACTAAATTAACTTATAACAACTATATATGCAATGAGAAATGTTTTAAATTACATGTCAATATGCGCTACAATAATGCAATACGTAACCAATGAACCTCGGGACCTCTTTTAGTGAATTTTGATTGGGATTGGGACCCTAACCCTTACCAAAAATGAACCATTTGCTCGCGAAGTAGAAATTTTGATCGAGCCCGAAGGAGCTGATTAAAAAATTTGTGAGATCAGTAGTTTTATTTCAAAAAAATATGATGAATAAAATCTTTTCATGCCTGAGAGATCGTATTAATGAAAATTTCAAATGGGATTCGTGAAAAACTAAACTAAAGGCAGAATGAATTGAGGAAAGTGTTTCAGATATCGGTCCTCAAGCAGGAATCGAACCTACGCCTTGCGACCCCGGTGCAATGCTTCTGCATGAGCTACAGAGATAACTCGAAACGAGCGCAGTTAGTGTGGATTTAGCAAGGTAATTCCTGCGAGTAGGTGAGAATAAATCACTGAATTAAGACTTTGTGCACTTTACTCAATGAAGCAGAATTTTTCCAGGTCCTTATTTTGAGTAGAAATGCTACACACATCATATAGGTTCCTAACAAGATCGTTTATTTCAGACGTTGACGAGTGTTCCCTGGGAACTCACAAATGTCACTCAAACGCAACCTGCAATAACACTATTGGCTCCTACGAATGTCACTGTCGCAGAGGATTTTTAGGAAATGGGAAAACATGTTCAGGCAAGATTAATTATTTTACATTATATGTATTAACATGTTATACTTGTATATATATTTTATAGGCGTTATTATAGTTTATGAACTCTTTATCGCTGATTTCAGACGTTGACGAGTGTTCCCTGGGAACTCACAAATGTCACTCAAACGCAACCTGCAATAACACTATTGGCTCCTACGAATGTCACTGTCGCAGAGGATTTTTAGGAAATGGGAAAACATGTTCAGGCAAGATTAATTATTTTACATTATATGTATTAACATGTTATACTTGTATATATATTTTATGGGCGTTATTATAGTTTATGAACTCTTTATCGTTGATTTCAGACGTTGACGAGTGTTCCCTGGGAACTCACAAATGTCACTCAAACGCAACCTGCAATAACACTATTGGCTCCTACGAATGTCACTGTCGCAGAGGATTTGCTGGAAATGGGAAAACATGTTCAGGCAAGATTATTTTTTTTACCTTATCATGTATTACCATGTTATATACTTTTATAATATAAGTATGATATAACGAGCAATTTGATTGGTTACCGCGCGTGCATTGTGAGGCCATAATGCACGCTTCTGGCTTTTGAAATTTTTGTTGCTAAGCAACATCTTAAATAACATGTAAGGAGAATTTCATTATTGATCAAATAAATAAATTTTGTTGTTGCCCTATAATTTCTTCTTATATTATAAAAGAATTAAAAAAGCTCGTCGCGTGCCTTTATGGTGTAATAATGCACTCGGGGAAATGTTGGAAGAATACTCGAGAAGCTTGTAAAACACTCGGCTACGCCTCGTGTTTTACAAGCTTCTCTCGTATTCTCCCAACATTCCCCCATCGTGCATTATTACACCATAAAGGCACGCTACTCGTTTTTTAATTCTTAAGTATAAGCCATATATTTTATAGGCGTTATTATAGTTTAGAGACTCTTTTTTATCGTTGATTTCAGACATTGACGAGTGTACCTTGAAAACTTACAAATGTCAGTCAAACGCCACCTGCAATAACACTATTGGCTCCTACGAATGTCGCTGTCACGGAGGATTTTCTGGAAATGGGAAAACATGTTCTGGCAAGAATATTTTAATCAACTTTTTTATATAGCTAGGGGTTCGAACCAGGTAGACAAACTCATCGATATAAGCAGCTCTAGCTGTAAGGTATCTGGTACGACATTGTTCTCTCTTATGAAGTCGAGTGTACCAGCATTCTTTTGATGGATAATTTCTTATTAATGCAATGCAAAGCATGAAGATATTTTAAACAATGTAAGTGCATGGTGTTCGACTAAGCTCCTGACAACATCGTTTATTTCAGACGTTGACGAGTGTTCCCTGGGAACTCACAAATGTCACCCTAACGCCACCTGCAATAACACTATTGGCTCCTACGAATGTCACTGTCGCAGAGGATTTTTGAGAGATGGGAAAACATGTTTAGGCAAGATTAATTATTTTACATTATATGTATTAACATGTTATATTTGTATATAAGCCATATATTTTATAGGCGTTATTATACTTTATGAACTCTTTATCGTTGATTTCAGACGTTGACGAGTGTTCCCTGGGAACTCACAAATGTCACTCAAATGCAACCTGCAATAACACTATTGGCTCCTACGAATGTCACTGTCGCAGAGGATTTTTAGGCAATGGCAAAACATGTTCAGGCAAGATGAATTATTTTACATTATATGTATGTTTGAACTCATTTTAATCTTTTAATATTTTAGAACCTAACGTTAGTATATCTTTTTGTAATTATGGTATTATCATGTTAGTAATTGTATTTCTGAGTATTTTATCACTGTAAATATGTATATAGTCTTACCTTTCTGATACTTGTAAACTTGTGTTTTTCAGTTCGTTTTTGAACTGCCATTCAAGTATTTTAATAATAATCAATTATTAATCAATTAACATGTTATACTTGTATAAGCCATATATTTTTTAGCCGTTATTATAGTTTAGAAACTCTTTTTTATCGTTTATTTCAGACATTGACGAGTGTACCTTGGGAACTTACAAATGTCACTTAAATGCAAACTGCAATAACACTATTGGCTCCTACGAATGTCACTGTCCCAGAGGATTTGCTGGAAATGGGAAAACATGTTCAGGCAAGATTATTATAATCGATTTTTTATATGCAACTCAAATTTAGGATGGCACCGAAGAATGTAGACATTCAATTTTTCCGTTTTACAGCAGTGGGGAAGGTTCCATTTTATTTGGTAACTGAGTAGGCAAATTCAAAAGCTCATGTCTCAAGGGTGGACAATATCAGAGCATGACAAAATACGGAAACTGCGAAACGTAATCTTAAGAAAACACAATCAAGATACACACGAACTCGTCAATGTACCAATGATATTTACGAATGGAGTGTTACCTAGTTGAGCAAGAAATATCATTTACAAGAAAATGTAGGCTAGGATTTTCAACCTAAAAATAGCATAACTACTAAGGCATTGTCAACATGGGATATCTTATTTTGGATGAGGCATATCGCTTTAATTTATTTTTAAAAAACAAAAGGGCATTTTGGGTATAAACAATTAATCCCCCACAAACCCTCTTATGGTTTCACAGAAAATTTTTTTTCCTAAATCTGATAGCTCAAATTAACCCAGAGAAAAGACGAAAAGTTAAAAGCCATTTCATTTTCATTCCCACGGAACAAAATTAATTTAAGAGGTTTTTAACCTGTTTACAATAAATTATTATTCCTTTTATTAGCAACAAGCCACTAAATTGGGATGAAAAATCATATTTTTAGGTCTCCACTGCGCTGATTTGTATGAAAAGGGAAATAAACAAAGTGGTCTTTATGAAATTGACCCTGACGGAAAAGGAAGTTTCAAAGTGTTTTGTGATATGACAACATCAGGTGGAGGATGGACTGTATTTCAACGTCGTCTTGATGGAAGTGTTGACTTCTACCGAGGATGGCAAGATTACAAACAAGGTTTTGGTAACTTGATCGGAGAATATTGGCTTGGTCTTGATAAAATACACAGGATGACAAATATTTTACAAAATGAACTTCGAATCGACATGGAAGATACATCTGGAAACACTGCATACGCTCATTATGATTCATTTAAAGTCAGCAGTGAAAATACAAAGTACAAGTTGAATGTTGGAGGTTATCATGGTAAGCATTTTACAATTACGGTGAACTATAAATGCAGTCTATAATTATTAAATATTGTATCGAGCAAAATTATTATTGAGTCATAAATGTAATTAATTTTATAAATTATATAAAGTTTAAACGAGGCAAGGTTGGTATTTCGCAAATTAATCGCAGAAATGTGAAATATTTCGAATTTTGGAGTTTGTAAAACTTTTAAAAATTACGGGAAAAAACCGAAACAAAATTTTCAGGGACATTCGATAATGCACAGTCGAGGCCGGCTTTGAAATAAACGGCGGAATCCGGCGGTAAAATGAAAAAGACTGAAGGAATGAAATATAATTCAAACGTGTATATAGCTACAAGAGAATACTATTAAATTCGAGGCTACTGCAGACGATATAATGGAACATTAAGCTGTATAGAATTGTTCACAAATGTTTTCAGAGTTTTATACATCTTTAAATTGATACGATTTATAATATTGTAAAATTCACGATATGTTTCCTGCAAAGTATATTAAGATAGTCTTATACAAAAAAATCACGATTAATTCTGTTTTCAAAATTTCAGGGGATGGAAACTTAAATGTCTCCCTAATAGATCCTGAATATTTCTTCTCAAAAAAGCGCCAGAACTAAACGAAAAGTTTTACTAATTAGTGTTTTACTCCGAGCAAACAAAAGGGTTGGATTGCCTTATTCTATTGTTTCATTGTTCTATTTAATTTTTCTCTATAATATTTATGAATACATGGAAAACGTTTTTCGTATCTTTTTGTAGCAAACTAAAATTCTCATTCCCATTATTTTGGGAAAAAATATCTCAAAAAGTAATAAAGCTAACTTGGCAAAATTTTCATGTTAGACTTTGTATTGTCTAAGTGTGTATTTCGTTAAGGTAGCTCGAGATAGTAAATTTAGTTGCGCTCTTGCGTGTGGAAACATTAATGGCCTCACGATATTTGTGTAGTTTTATTTTCGAACGCACTGCCAAAACCAGCGAGGAACATAAACATAAATGCTGCTCTCAGAATCAGAACAATAAGAACAACATGCGCGACGCGTGTTTGTTTCACGTGATGTGTGTTTCGGACCCAGCACGTGTAATTGCACACGTCATTAAAAAATTCCATTTTGGGCCAAAAAATCGTGCTATATCTCATTATTTCGTACGGTGACCTATGCTGATATTTTGCATGCTGTAATGTACTACACATGTCTCTCATCATGTCAAAATAAAAAAATCTATAATGGCAAAAAAATTATCGAAAAAAATGTCATTTTTGCATTTTTCAAAAATGAGACATTATAGAACTTTCATATTTTGCTAGTTTTTCTTCCAAGTAAAATAACGCACGAAAAAAATTGGGGGTCACCGTGCTTCTTTTCCAACTATCCGACGCAATTGGTCATTTTGGAGTGAACTTTGTACCAATATGTCGTCATAGCAACGGACGATCTGTTACTAAAACTAATACGATTAAAAAGTAGAGACATCAAAATATACAAGAACCACAATATCTTTAGAATAAATCGTTAAAATGCGAACGTATCAAAGTGATGAACAATGGGGTTTTTGAAAATTAACTGTATCGAGCCACCTTAACTCTAAGTAAAATAACGATTGTTTATTTAGATAGATCGTAAAAGTTTTATTTTTACTGCCTGTAAAACGTTTAATACTAGGAATTTCAAAGTTTTATTTATATTGAAGGTTCAGCTCCGAGGAGAAAATATTTATAACTAAATAAGACCAATTTCGTCATCTTCCACCATTGGGTGTGTATGGTATGGGCAACTATAGTAAGAATCTAACAAGTCTTTTTTCACTCAGAGCAACTTGGCTTCCAATATTGGCTTGCTTTTCAAAATAAAAGAAAAAAATGTTTTTTGTATAATACCACCTTAACTTTTTTCGTACGATTTTGGCATTAATAATTATTGCACTCTATTCGTTCTATTAACATTATTGATTTTTAAGAGGTCATGCCTGCACATATTTTTACATTAAGGTACAGCGGGAGACTCGTTATCATATCACAACGGTATGGCTTTTAGCACCAAAGATTCTGACAATGATATTTGGGGTGGTAACTGTGCAGTGGCATTCAAAGGAGCCTGGTGGTATCGTAGTTGTCATGACTCTAATTTGAATGGTTTGTATCATTATGGCGCACACACATCAGCCAGTGATGGAGTCAACTGGTTGCATTGGAAAGGACATCATTATTCTCTGAAATCAACATCGATGAAGATACGACCACGTGAATTTGGAAAGAAGAAATAAAGACGTTGAACAATAAAGAACTAGAAAGAAATAAGGTTTAGTGCACTAACACGCAACTTGTTGGTTTTTAAAATAGTGTAACATGTGACGTATATTTACATAGAGGAGATTCTTCTTCTACGCCTAGCCTAGCCCGAAGTTAATAGAATATACATGGTTTGGATACTAAGTAAAAGTACAATACAAGTCCTCGGTTATCTATGTCATTGTCCAGGTTTATGCAAAAAGTGGTTCCTTTCAGACCTTTCTCGTCACGTATCTATTGTATTTTAGCGAAACTTACCAATGGCATTCGTCTTGCAAAGCTCATCAACCTGGACTTGAAAAATATGTTAATTATCGTTTAATGATGAAGAAGAGAGCAGATGCATGATTAAATTTGCGGGCCTGATATTTCCACAACTGAGGAACCTTGTCCAAGAGTTAGTCAGCTAAACCTGTTAAAATCTTTAAAATCTAAACTAGATTAGTTAAATCAGTGTTAGCCGGCAGATTAGCAACTTAACTGCACCTGGTGAGGTGGATTAGCACAAATATGTTTTGAAAAACGCAATAAATTAACCCCGCGGGATAAAATTTAAAAGCTATTTTAGCTGAGGGATAGCATGCTTTTGAACAATCAGCCTGTGAAGTTCAAGAGGTTTAAAAGAAGTTTTGGTCATACAACGATTCCCAGCACATATCTGAGGGTAGGTGTATAAAGTAGCATCCTGTTCATTTTTGTTAAAATATTTTGTGGTTAATTATTTCACCATTGCTTCCGGAGAATGTCACTGAGAATCCCGTAACGTTACACTTGTAATTTATCCCAAACTTTAACTACGAGATTTCTATAGCTTTCCAAGTCCCCGTTACGCCGTGTTTGAAGAACAATCCCGTGTAGTTTGTCTCGAGACTTTAGGTCAATTGTCAATGACAGACGTGATGTTGTGTTAAAGACCCAAAGTTAACTGAATGACATTGTGAGGACTTCGGTTTTAATATTAACATCTGTTTCAGTAAATACGTATAAAAAACGATTTAATTTCGTAGCTAGATCCCAAGAGAAATGAGCGCAATCCGTGATTTTTGTATTCTCTAGCTCACAGTCATATATAAGTAGGTGATGACTTTAAACCTTTATTTATTTTACGCTGACACATAAATTGGAAAAGGATGGCTGATCGGGAAAGCAGAAAAGATGCAAATCTAAATATTACAAACAGAATTTAGAGACCTATAAAGGGAAATGAGCCAAAAAAGTGGTGGTCGGAGTGTAACAGACGGTGTGGAGTGTCTAAATCAGCAACGGATGATTGTGTCGAAACTGCTTCCCGCCACTTCCGGATATTTCCCTTCAAAGGCAACAAAACAAAACCTAGCAAATAAAATTAACTATGCCTTTATGGAACCCCAAGAAACTTATATACCCCTGTTCCAATATAAAAGACTTGATGCCATAAATGTCGACTAACCTGTAATCTCCCTTCATGTTGTAGAGAGACAACTTAGTACAGTAAATATATCAAAAGCATGTGTGCCTGATAATATATTAAAATTGGATTCTTAAGGAATCCGCACATATTTTAGCGGAACAAGTATGTATGTTAATCAACTCATCACGTACTGAGAAAAGCCTTCCGAGGTATGGAAAAGTGAAAATGTTACAGCTATACCTAAAAACCAAACTTTGGAATACATTAACAAAGACCTAAGAACTATATCATTGACACCCACCATTAGCAAAATGTCCGAGGGCTATGTTGTCAGAGCATCGGATTAGACAAGACCTGTACGTTGTATCCCTGATTCCTCTACCACTCACGCTCTTATAAATCTTGTTCACAGCTGGACTAGTACTAAAGCCACCGACGACAATTAAGCTAAAGTACGAGTCCTTTTCCTGATTCAGGAAGCCTTTAACTTAATAGACAATAATATCTTAATATCCAAACTATCAAATTATTGAATCAATCCCCATATTGTGAACTGGATCTGCGAATTTTTGAGCAATAGACAACAAAGGGTTAATGTAGCCAACGATTGTTTCTCGGAATGGAAATCGGTACCAGTAGATGTTCCCAAAGGGACAAAACTGGGTCCCTGGTTATTTATAGTTATGATCGCGGACTGCAAGATTAAGTCATCAAACGAAGTGTCAAATATGTAAACGACACTACTAGTTACGATATTATTCAAAAGAGCTCACCAAGTTCAGCCAGCTGTTAGTAAATGAAGTAGAAGAGTGGTCACAAAGTAATAAATTCGAATTAATTGTTAAAAAATGCAAAGAAATAACTATTCCTTTTCAAAAACCACTACCCTTTTGAGGACTTGCATATAAAAACCATGGCGAGAAATTTTGGTCACTTCTCTCAAGTTCCTAGGAGGGACATTAAAACAAGACTTGAAATGGAATACCCATAACGAAAACACTATTAAGAAAGCGTCCGAGAGATTTACTTTTTTTCACATTTGAAGCGTGCAAAAAGTGACTTCGAGTGACCCAATCAGGTTTTATTCAGTTTTTTGAAGAAAGACAACAAATATGCAATACTCTCTTTGAGAAAGTGATAAGAAATGAATGTAGAACGTCTGCCTTTCCGGACCCAGTGAGCGCTACCCCGAATTTAGGCTCTATAGAATTGTACTAAATTAGTACAGTTGATAATATAAAACAACGATTTACACAACATTAATCTAGAGGAGTATTCCAACCCCGTCGTCGTCGTGTTGCCGTCCTACCTGCTTAAGGTCCCTATTGAGGATTCATCAACTTATATCCACACTTTCTTGATCAGTTTCTACGTCGAAACGACTAGTCATGATTTGGACAAATATTTGATTGGTTGCGAGCATACTTCCATTATCTGTTTCAATGCAAAACTTTTGTTTAGTCTGCATGTTTTTTTTTTATTCGATACACCAGATCATTCAGTCTTTTACAACAGTAAACGGACCCTCCCAGGGCCTCGTGAACTTGGATGATCTTCCTTTCTTTCGTCGAAGGTTAAACGATCATCCCTTTTTCAAAGGGTTTGCACTACTGTCGTTAATATGTTTCCTCATCTTCTCGTAGCTTAATTCCAAGTTTTCTCTGGCAAATGTGTGAATTAATTCCAAATATTCTCGTAGACTTTGGACATGCTGCGTAGAACTCTTGCGTTCATCTTCTTTAAGAGTTCCGTAAACGAGATCAACCGGTACACGAGCCTCATGCCTAACATCATATATACGTGCAGGAGTAAATCCATTGTGCACAGCTGTCTTATACGCCATTAGAAGGAGAGGTACATGCATACTTGTCCTAATCGCGTCGATGCTCTTCCACAAACAAAGATAGTTGTGTCTTTAAAGTTCGGTTGTATCTTTCCACCATCTAATCTGATTCTTGATGGAGTGGAGTTGTCCTAGTTTTATGTATACCGAGCAGTGCGCACATTTCCTGAACACCGTCGACTCAAAAGGTATTCCTTGGACAGAGTGAAGCTCGAGTGGAACACCAAATCTGCAAACAAACTCGTTGACCGTTTCTTGCGTCCTGTCTAGGAATGGCATAAGGCCTCAGGCCACTTCCTGAAATAACCCATTGAGACTAACAGGTATCGTCCCCCTTATCAGAGAGAACGAGTGGGCCCGTCACATCAATTGATATCCTTTCAGTAGAGCTACAGACCAGATATCTCTCCAGACGTGCTTTTTTTCGCCGACTTCTTCCTTTCTTTGATGCACAAAGAGCACAACGCGCACACCACATTTTTACATCGGATTGACAATACGGCAAATAGAATCTTAATTACAATGGTACAATTAGTTGCAGTATCACTTCTTCACCGTGTCTCCCATTTCCAACGTCCTGCTTCACAATGAGCCTGTTCCACTGCACCCAATTAAATTTGTTCACTTCACAACGACTTGACTCCGCTGACTATGCATCTGGTAATGACTTTTATGAGCTTGTTAAAAATATAATCACGATCTTGAAAATGTCCGTAAATAGATGTTTCAAAATAAATTTCAAATTCATCCAAAAAAAGACAAAACACATGTTTATCGGATCATCTTTTAAGAATAAGAATAAAATTGCTCAGACCCCAATTTTAATCTATTTAACACCGCTTGTTTCCCAATTGAATCCAACGAACTCAAAGTTAACACTCTCTCTACTCCAAAAATATGTTTTTCACTAAACTTCAATTATGGTTGTTAGCTTTATAACTTTGTGTAGGAGAGACTACGCTTTCTAGACGGCTATAGTGAGTGAGAGTGACGTTTAGGAATACGGACGTAAGCCTCGTAAGAAAATTTATCCCCTTTTACAAGCCCCATTAAAGTTAAAGAATCTCCTACAAAAATATATTTCGGATCAGAATGTCCTAAAGTGCTGGGAGATTTCTAACGAAATAAGAATAGTCGAAATCTTTTCTTTAAATCTGTACACTTAAAGACGAAAATGACAAATCAATGACAATGGACGATCATTGGTTCTGCAATTCTTCTTATAGAATTTTCACAATTATGAAGAGCTTGTATTATTAGCAGTGGGAACAACGACCACGGCAGAGAATTGTAAAAATAATTTTTCCATAAGCTTTTCTGTACTTGATATGTCTTACTCCATAAATCAAAGCATTCACAATTGAGTTTATTCCAATAAAACTCGAAGTTAAGAACCACGAACCAAATCTGTCGGCATGAATCATTGCAATAATTGTATACCACGGACCCAATAACTGTTGGTAAAAAACAACAGATCGCCAACACTGTAATAACAATAAGAAATGTTTTCACTTCTGTAAACGCCTGAAATAGACGAATTATAACCCTTGTCCTGCTTGGCTGTTCGTTGTCGTTGCTGCAGCCTGCGACCATTGATTCATCAAAGATTCGTTTGCGTTGTTTCCGAGACACACGTAAAATTTGGAAGTTAAGAAAGAATATTAAAGCCAGGTAAATATAGAGAAATGGAACTGCCGTTGAAAAATAAATGTCATCAGATATGTAACAAATGCTTCTGATTCTATGATCGTACCTCCCAAGGTGGAGATGATAAATAGCGTAAAGACAACAAGCAACCAGCCAGATTCCTGATATGGCTAAAAAAACTC